CTTCATTCAATTAGTACTTAATAACTCCTTATAATTGCACTAACATGAATGAAAACCTCTATCACATATAATTGTGCGATTAAATATGCATTAAATGATAATATACATTCCTTCACTAATCTAATAGGCTCAAGGACATATACCAACACATCATTCTATATACAAGGAGATTGCAGCATAGCCTTAAATAGCATGATATCAACCATGACAGCTAGTCACTTAATGGGACATGGCTATCGAGGATTTTTGGCTGTGGTTATAGATACCCAAGTAGAGGCAGTTAGAGTGGTAGATGTACCTATCATGAGAGAGTTCATAGATGTATTCTTGAATGAGTTACCTAGATTACCTTTAGAGCTAGAAATGAAATTTTGCATAACTCGGTGCAGGACACTAGTTTGATTTTTATAGCACCATACCAGATGGCATCAGCCGAGCTTAAAGAGCTCAAGAATCAGTTGGAAGATTTATTTGACAAGGGCTTCATTTGCCCTAGTGTCTTGCTACAGGTGCACCGGTATTATTTGTGAAGAAGAAAGATGGTTCGATGAGGCTTTGTATCGACTACAAGCAGTTGAACAAAGTGACCATCAAGAACAAAATCCCTACCTACGTATCAATGATTTGTTTGATCAATTGCAAAGGGCTAAATATTTCTATAAGATTGATCTAAAATCGGGGTATCACAGTTGAGGATTAGAGGTGTAAACATACACAAAACTACATTTTGTAGAAGGTATGGTCCTTTTGAGTTTTTGGTTATGTTATTTGGATTGACTAATTTCCCTGCAGCATTTATGGATATGATGAATAGAGTATTTAGACCATATTTAGATAAGTTTGTGATCATGTTCATTGATGATATCATAGTGTATTCAAGGAGTCGGAAGGAACATGAGTAGCACTTGAGGATTGTGCTATATATGTTAAGGGAGCACTAGCTATATGCCAAGTTCTCCAAGCATGGGTTTCTAGCTTGACCGTGTTAGCTTCTTAGGCCATATAGTATTTAAGGATAGGTGATGGTGGACCCAAAAAAGATTGAGGCAACAGAGAAATGGCCCAAGCCTCTTTTAGTAATTGAGATGTGGAGTTTTCTAGGGCTAGCCAAATATTATAGGATATTTGTTAAAGATTTCTCCAATATTACTACTCTTATGACTAAGTTGACATAAAAGGATATCAAGTTTACATGGACAAATGCAAGCAAGGAGAGTTTTGCAAAGCTCAAAACTTTACTTACCATAGCTTTAGTGTTGAATTTGCCATGTGGTTCTAGAGGTTATATAGTTTATTGCGACGTATCACGAGTAGGACTAGGATACGTGTTGATGCAACATGGAAAAGTGATAGCGTACGCATTGAGACAACTCAAGAAGCATGAGCAAAAGTACCACACATATAATTTGGAGATGTCTGCCATAGTATTTTCCTTGAAGATATGGATGCATTACTTGTATGGTGAGACTTGTGACATTTACATGGATCACAAAAGTCTCAAATACATTTTTGAGCAAAAAGATCTCAGTCTTAGGCAACTCAGATGGTTAGAGTTTCTTAAGGATTATGACTGTACTATATTGTATTATCCCGATAAAGCTAAAGTGGTGGTAGATGCATTAAGTCAAAAATTTATGGGAAGTTTAACCCAGACCTCAATTGAGAAGAGATCACTGATACAATGTATGCATGAGTTAGGCGATGTGGGCATTTGATTGAGGTTGATGATACCAGTGCATTATTAGCCTATTTTAGAGTGAGATTGATGTTAATGGATCAAATCAAGGAGGCCTAAAACAAAGATGATTTTGCAGCAAGAGCATTAGAGGATCCTTAGGGAAAAAAACGTCAGATGTTCACTAAAGGCATTGATGGATTACTTAGATATGGATCTAGGGTACATGTGTTAGATATTGAAAATTTGAGGTGAGAAATTTTAGGCTCACCCAAGCACCACCAAGACTTGGTATTGAGAAAAATGAGATTATGAGATATAAAGCACGACTTGTCGCACAAGGTTTTTCCCAAAGACTGGGTATTGATTATGACGAGATATATTTTTTTCTTGTGATGGATGCAATAACAATTCTATATTAATTAGTCTACCAAGACATGAAAAGTTTGAAATGCGTCTAATGAATGTAGTTAAAGCCTATTTATACAACTCACTTGATAATGATATCTATATGAAAATCCCTAAAGGATTTAAGCTGCTTGAAGCAAAAAATTTGAATTCCTGAAAATTTTATTCAATTAAATTAAATAAATCTTTATATAGGTTAAAACAATTTGGATGCATGTAGTATAATCGCCTTTGTAAATATTTGTTGAAAGAACACTATAAAAATGATTCTATATGCCCTTGTGTTTTTATAAAATGATTCTAATATGAAATTGTGATAATTGCTATTTATGTTGATGACCTAAACATTGTTAAAACTCTTGAAAAGTTATCAAAAATTGTGACTTAAATAAATAATTTAAGATGATAGATCTTGGAAAAACAAATTTTTGTTTCAATTGTCAAATTGAACACTTAACAAATGGAACTTTTATCCATCAATTAAATTGTATAGTAAAAATGCTAAAACAATTTTATATAGACAAAGCACATCTATTGAGGTTACCAATGGTTGTAAGCTCATAAGATGTGAAAAAAAATCCTTTTCGACCTCGTAAGGATGATGAAGAACTTCTTTGTCCTGAAGTACTATATCATAGTACAATTAGAGCACTAATTTATTTTGCTAGTAATACATGAGCTGATATATTATTTCTTGTAAATTTATTAGCAAGATATAGTTCTTCTCCAACTCAACACCATTGGAATGGAATTAAACATATACTTTAATATTTTCAAGGAACAATGGACATGGGCTAAAGGCTCAATCCTAAACAAGTTATTTATTCATATGTGAAGGTACGACTATTCATAGTGTTTTGTAAAACAAATTATATTTGTTACATTTTCTAACCTTGCAAAAATGTTGGTAATTCATGAGGCAAGTCGTGAATATGTTTACTTAAAATTTGTAACTCAACATAGTTAAGAAACGTGTGGCTTGTTAACTAAGAAGAAAATTTCAACAACATTATATAAGGATAATACTACTTGCATGGTATAGTTAAATGAAGAATACATTAAAGGCGATAAAACAAAACATATTTCGTCAAAATTCTTCTTCACTCATGATATCCAAGAAAAAGGTAATATTAGTATTTAATGAATTTGGTCAAGTGACAATCTAGCAAATTTATTCACCAAAGCCTTTCCTAGTGCAATATTTGAAAAGTTAGTTCAAAAGATTAGAATGCATCGTTTTAAAGATCTTAAATAATGCAGTTATCAAAGAGAGTAAAATACGCACTATACTCTTTTCCTTTATCAAGGTTTTTCTCATTAGGTTTTTCTTAATAAGGTTTTTAATAAGGTAGTATTTTAATAGCATAATCTTGATTTATGTACTATTTTTCCTTCACTCGCATTTTTTCCCATGAAATATTTTCCTAGTAAGGTTTTAATGAGGCATACTCTTAGTACAATAGATATTCAAGGGGAGTGTTATGAATATATGTGTGAATGTCCATTTTGTAGATTTTGATGTAGATTATATTGGATTAAGATTATGATTTAATCCATTCATCTAATTGTTAGTATTATTTTTATTTTATAAATTCTATATAGATAAGGGGTTATTAATCTATAAATGGGCTATTCATTTCATTTGTAAATACACACTTAAATAAAATTTTCTTACTTTCTCTAGATACGTTTTTTATAGTTATTCTTTTTCTTTTATAATTGTTCTTTCAATTAATATATCATAAAAAAATAATAAATTTTTTATCTCTCTCCGCTTCCCTCTCTCTCAATCTCCTTTTCTTTTCTCCCTTTTTTGTCCATTATCTGCAATAGATCTAAAGCCCTAAATTCTTAATTTTGATTCTTGAAGGTAATATTTATTTCATTTTTCTTATTAATTTATCTATTTTTTTATATTTATGATTATTTATTGTCAATGGAAGACAACCACAAATAAAGCAAGCCTAAGTAACGTTGAATTAAGACTAACTTGCAATCAGGTTTTTTTTTTTCTTGCCTTACTTAATTAGGCTTGGTTAATGTGGATTTCAGAAGCTGGAGGTTGTTCATAAATTTGTTTAAATAAATATTACTGAATCAAAATTAAGAATTTGAGAATTTGGACCTATTGTTGCTAATGGATTGAAAAATGGAGAAAAGAAGAAGAGATTGGATGAGTGGAGCTTGAGAAAGATAAAAAAAGAATTAGTTTTATCCTTTTAATTTTTTTAAAAAAACCACTAGTAATAATTATTTTTAAGTTCTTCAAAGTTTTAAATTTGTTTGTTAATGATGGCTTAACAGCGTATAAAAGCTATATGATCCTTTTTATTAAATTTAGCTTTTTTAATGGCAATCATGAATTTGTCTCATACAGGTTAGGGAAATTCCAAATGATAAGAACAAACAGACACGACCATTATCTCCTAACAAATAATTATAAATAAGAGATAATAATAATATTGAGATAATTTTATATAATAGATAATAATAAATAAAAATATCAAGTGGAAATAATATAATTAACCATTAACCAATCAAACCAGGAAAGATATTGCACATTCCATGCTTGTACATGCACATACAAAACATTCCTAAAACACTAGCAGCTCTTATAAAAAACGATCATTAAGCATTTATTCGGAATATACTACTAAATATGATTATCATATGCTATCTTGGTCTTGTTGTATTTATCAAATGAATTTAATTTGGACAATTTTTTCTAATAAAAATACAAAATTTTTAATTGGGCATGGTATGAAATAAAAAGGAGAACACGAATTGGATATTACCACGTCAGAGGTTTAGGGTAACGGAGCAGGCGGGGTTTGATTCAAAATATTCAAAACGCCTAAAAAGATGGCCCGGTTTGGCGTCGGAGAAAGCGACGAGAGAGTTTTCAGTCAAACACAAGCTTTGTCAACTTTGAGAAAACAAATACAAAAGTAGTATGTGCCAGAAAAGCTTTACCCGGGTCTCACGCCTCTTTCTCTCTAAACCCAAGGTCCTCTTCGGTCCCTGCTTTTCTAGATTCTAGTTTACCTCTTCTCATTTTATTACTACTAGATTAGTTGTCTATAAGTCATACACTTTCAAATCCAGCCATGTGATAGCTTTGTAATTTGCATATATAGCCATTCATGGTTTCCCCTGTCTGTTTATTCCAAGTCTTGTTCCCCTCCGATCCTCACGCCTCGCTGCAACCTTACATCATTCTCAAACGCCGGCTTAAGCTCCAAAAAGAAGAAAACAGAAAAGAGAAGAGAAAGCCTCTTGGATGTTTGCTGCATGCGTCTTGTTTTGCAACCCGCTTGTGGATCAGGGAATAGGTTATGCTATGCTATAGTAAGATCTAAAGTAAATATGGGTCTCAAGCTTTTGAATCTACATGCCATTCCATGTTGGTTTCACTTGCTCGGCAACCACATGTCGTGCCTCCACCTGCAGCCTGAGCCTCGGCTTGGTACCATCAAGATCATGGACTCTGACGGGCTTGTCAAGATCTATGATCGTCCCGTCAATGTTTCCGAGCTCATGACGGAGTTCCCTAAGCACATGATTTGCCGTTCTGATTCGTTTTACATAGGCCAGAAGATCCCAGCTCTCTCCTGGGACGACCAGCTCCAGCTTGGCCACAGATACTTTCTTCTTCCTAAACATTTTTTCCAGTCAGTTTTATCGTTCGTTACCATTGCCTCCTTTGCCAACGCCCGATCTCCGCAATCTCCGGTTCCATCTTCATCTTCTCGGGTATCAAGTACTGCGCTGGTGAAGAAGGCTGCGACTTGCCAACCTTTCCAGATACAAAAAAGTTCATCCGGGTGCTTAAGAATACGCATATCTGATGAATTTATATGGCAGTCGATGGAAGAAGGCAGAATGAGAGAGAGTGTTGATGAGAGTTGGAGCAGAGTATGCACCACCCCTCAGTTGCAGAAGCAGTACAAGCAGCTTGTGGGTTCACGCCATTGGAAACCCAAGCTGGAGACCATTAAGGAGAAGGAGAAAAGGAAGATTTCGTCTTTCGGAATGATGAGGAAGAAGAAATCACAGTTGAAGAACAACCTAAAGACTCAGAGATCATCTGAACACCATGTTCATGTAACTTGTGCCAAACCCCCGTCAAAACCCAAGATTAGGATTAAATCATCAAGAAAGTGATCAAACCCATTTTTGCTTTTAAAGTTCCTGTTGTAAAAGAAATTACAGGTCTTCTTACTAGAGTTTAGAGAAGGAAAGTGAATTAAACCATCTCAAATTACACTTTAATCGTCTCGTATTCTTAATGGTTGGCTCCGCCTACCGTTATTAATTCTTGATTTTGTTTGGTTTTTGTATGGTGAAGTTTTGGACTGCATAAGATTTAGAACCGGAAAAGGTAAGTCTGATACCATACCATCCAAGGTGATGGATGGTCATATTGGATCTTCCACCTTTTCCATTTTTTTTTATAAACTCATAACAAGGCAAACAATCCGTAGGGGATGTATGATACACACGACTATGTGAATCAATTAATGTAATGTAAATATGTAAATATATATGTGTTGAACGCTGGTGATGTCGGGTTGGTCATTGTGTTTGGCAGAGTGGGACTGAACCCTTTTTTCCTATTTTGTAAAGTGACAGCGTTGGGTCTTCGGAGAAGAAGGAGAGCTCGCGTGTCTTGTCTACTTTTTTTATTGGAAGAAGGGACAATCTGATGTGGGCGGGCCATCGCCATTTATGCACATGGCCAACAACTTGACAAATTAGCAGTCAAACCAAGTTAGCTTTCAATTTGTAATTTGCCTGCCATTGCCAACTCTATTTTCATCGCTGTTCCCTAACGTGTGCCGCCACCACCTCCCTGCTCTCTCCATCGTCACTTTTTAAATATTCATTTGTAACTTTGAAAAGTGGCATGCTACTCCATTATATTCCAGTAGCAGCAAAGACCAAGTTTACAACTAAATTTGGATTAATATTGTGGACACTTCATTTTGTACCAGTGTTTCGTCAATTGTTGAAAAACTAAAAATTTTAAAAATATAAAATAAAAAAATAATACAAAACAAAATAAAATAACAAAAATTATAAAAAAAGATAATATGTTTGGCCACTCCATTGGAGACATTTGAGAGTCAGAGCCAATAAGTTAGTCATTTATTTTCTTAAAAGCCTTACAGTTACACTAATTCAATTTTTTAGTTTGTTTTATTTTCTTGTTTCTTTTCTTTATGTAATAGGCCTTTTCACACACTCACTACACATGCATGCATAAACCTTCTTCCTAGACTCCATCCTTTTTAAAAAGAAGTAGAGTATCTTTACTCACATGAGGTGATAACTTACGCATTGGCTAATGAAATGCTTCCACTTATATTGAACCTTTTCCGCTGGCATTCTATAATAAGTGAGTATTAGGATGCCTTACTAGTCCAAAAATAGACGATAGTGGGAAATAATTTGAGAACCTTTAGCTCTATGTCAATCTACACTAGTTCAATTTTTTAGTTTGTTTTACTTTCTTGTTTCTTTTCTTTATATAATATGCCTTTTCACACACTCACTACACATGCATGCATAAACCTTCTTCCTAGACTCCATCCGTTTTAAAAAGAAGTAGAGTATCTTTACTCACATGAGGTGATAACTTACGCATGGGCTAATGAAATGCTTCCACTTATATTGAACCTTTTCCGCTGGCATTCTATAATAAGTGAGTATTGGGATGCCTTACTAGTCCAAAAATAGACAATAGTGGGAAATAATTTGAGAACCTTTAGCTTTATGTCAATCTAAGCTCAGCATATAATGAGCTTTATAGAGACAACCCTAGATAGAGCCTTCCTACTTTATTGTGTTAAAAACACTCAGAAATAGGTGCACATATATTTTGTACTATATTTTCTCTTTGTAATCTCTTCCCCTATTTATACTAACCTATTTGCTTTTTGTCTTGATTTAAAATCATGCATTTCCATTATACATTCATCATCTAGGGATACCCATCAGATGACAATCATGACAAAAACGACATTCATTACATCCATGGAACCTCCACCAAAGTTGTATTATTTTCGAGAGTAATAGAAATATCTTTTCGTTGCTTAAAACACATTTAAAGAATGCATTTTCTTAATCATCTTGCATTTAAGAGATTGTAAAATAATAATTTTAAAAGTTTTAATATAAATATTCATACATAAGGGGCATATTAATTTGTGTTCATGGTAAATAAGGTCTTCAAGATAGCTCGACCATCAAAGCCACCTACTTATCACCGACACAATACTTGCTTGCAAACTAGGATTATGAAAACGAGCAGTTTGTGCGAATGAACCAAATGGAAAAGGTCCAAGAAGAGATGAAGGAACAGTTAGCCAAAGTAATGGCATTGATGATGCCCATTAGCAAAGGAAAAAAGGTAGTGGAAAAGCTAGCTAATCAAGCAAGTCAACAAACTTCAAATAATAATGATCCCATATATGTACCAAAATTTGGTTCAACTCAATGTTGCGATAAACCCTGTAGCCGATCAGATTGGTCAAGGCTTAGATCCAACCATGTAATCATATCATTCATGTTAAATGATCAAAGGTTTTTCATCATAAATAAAACTACACTTATAAGTAATTGGATGAAGTCCATGAGATTAGCATGCCTTGCAAGGGAATTGTAAAGTGTTATATTATGAGATTTATATGCATCAAATCATGATCTCTAAATTATTTCTAGTTGATGTATCATTGAGACTAAACAATGATGCTTGAAGACTAGTATTTTATGTTCCTTATTTCAAAAGTAAGCAACCGATCCTATAGGTTGAAATATAGGAATACTTGGAACTAGAATGTAAGTACTTGTTCTAGGAACAAGTTCATTGAACATGATCAACATGAGGATTCTAGTTGGTACTTCACTCTAATGTCCATAGAATATATCCTCATGTGATAGTTGTGCAAGTGATCCTTATATGAGGATTGCTGTACTTTGATTTCATTCGTAGGGGTCTTACCAATGATGCTTAAACAAGATACTTTTGCGTATAGCATGACACATATGAAGGTAACTGAGTGGTCAAGATAAGATTTATCGCTCTGAGTGATTAAAGAGATGTATGTTCATGTCTTAAGTTAGCTTATGTGAATACTTTGGCCTAAACACAATGGATTTTAGGAAATGAGTTTCGTATAATCCATGATAGCTATCAATGCCATGACTAACATGGAAGGTTTAGGAGTTGACATTACACCATGCACCTAAGTTTTCTACGATACATGATGAAAAGATTGAATTGCACTAAGAGATTAATCATTGAAAGGTTGAGTCAAACCATCTTGACTCTTCTAACATTTGAGTGGCTATGATAGATTGCTAGATCTCACTTTTGGTCTATGATCTTAAAGTGATTATTATGATTAATGATAAATTCAAAGTAGTTTCAATTTATCTAATCCTAAATTTAATTCATGGATTACATTTCAAGGTCAAGACCAACATGTTAAAAGCCTAATGCATATCAAATTGATGAATGTTGAGATTAAATTAGGAGAGGTGAATAAGTTAGACTTAATCAAAATTAGAAGCTATGAACTGTTAACTTTTAAATTGACCCTAGTTTTGGAATGACAAATATAATGATCTAAATATGCTTTGAATCTAAATGAAAATGATTTTGAACTAGAAAAATAATCTTAAAAGAGTCTTAAAGTTGCTATACAACGAAAAAGCTTTTGAACACTTTAAATCTCAAGTTCCCGTTAGTAGAATCAACCTTCTGAAAGTGTAGAATTGATTCTTTGTGAAATAAAAAACAAAATTTCTTCACTGGAACAAAAAGAATTGACCCATTGAAAAAGAAAAGCCAACTCTTAAAGATATAGAAGCTAATGGAAGAAAGAGAATTGACACTAGAAGAAGTAAAGGTTGATTCCGAAGCAAACAGACACATTAGAAATCTATTAAAAGAATGAGAATTGACACCTGAAAAAGTAAGTGTCAATTCCATAAAGGCAAAAAGCAAACAAAAGCACGTTAAGTTTGACAAAATCGAACTCTCATAAAAGCAAGCTCAATTCCAAGGAGAAAAGAATCAAAAAGTACAAGTCTGAAGATTTTAGGATCAACATTTTAAGCATTGACTATTGATTCCTAAAGTTATAAAAATAAAAATTGAAGACTTGGAGAAGAAGAAAAAGATAAGGGGAATGGATAAGATTGGAGTGTTCAAAAGTAAGTTTAAAATTCAATTTTGGCATTTGATGTGGAAAAAAAATTGACACTTGGGGAAGTAAGTGTTGATTCTCAAAAAAGGAAAAAGCTATTGACTTTGAATTGGGACAAGAAAAATCGACACCTCCATAATGGAAAGGTCAATTCTCAAGAAATATAATGTTTTTGACTTTGAAGAATTGACCCCTTACACATCCACTAGTCGATTCCACCAAGCTTCAGATTGAAGCAAGTGTTAATTCATAGTTATAAAATATCAATTCTTGAAGAACAATGACACAATTCAATTGGTCCTAATGTTCAAAAATTTAAGCAAAACTTACCTTAACGCGTAAAATCCTTAAAGCACTATAAATTCCTTTATAAGGCCATTATTCAACAAAAAGAAAAAGTAAGAATATCATTCCAAAAGTGAAAAAGAGTTGAAAGTCCATCTCTTCTCTCTTTACTGCATATTCTTGAGTAATGTATTCTTCTTGCAGCCTTCTTTCTCTAAAAATCCTTCATACTTTTATACTAAGCCTAGCTCTTCAGCTTGTTAAGGTCTTAAGAGTTTTAATATTTGAAAAGAATCCACTGTTGTTGTTGGTTATACCTCCAAGAGAAAAGGTAGTTAAAGGTTAAATGTTCATAGAAAAAGTAGTATAAGGTTATTCCTCTAGAGAAAAGGTAGTTGTAAGGTTATTCTTTTATTCAAAAGTAGCGTGGTTAAACCTTAAATTATGAAAGATTTTGTTGTTAAAGGTTTTGATTTAACTTGATTTAAAGGGCTTTCCTTAATGGATTCAAACTCCTTAAGAATCAAGGGAAAAGACTTAGGCTTTGAGGACTGAATTGTTAGAATGAGCCCTATAACCAATTGAGATTGGCCAAGGCTTAGCTCTAGACATGCAATCATATCATTCACATTAAATGATTATAGGTTTTCATCAATAAGACATCAATTATAATGGTTGTAAGTTTATTGGATAAAGTTCATGAGATTAATATACCTTGTAAGGGAATTGTAATGGGTTATAATTATGAGATCCCTAAACATTAAAGCATAATCTCTAAATGTGCCTGGTCGATGTATCATTGAGACTAGACATCAATGATACCTAGAGACTAGTACATTCTATGCTTCTTACTTGAGGAAAAAAGCAACAGATCTCATAGGTTGAAGTATAGACATATTCAGAACTAGAATGTAGGTGCTTGTTCTTGAGAAAGGTTCATTAAACATGACTTGACAAGAAAAATGCATTTGGTATCCCATTGTAGTGTTTATGTAAATAATTTCTCATTTATCAAACATGTAAATACTCATTACACTCAAGACACTTGGTTGTCTTATATGTGGAGTGCTATATATTTGATCATATACCTACGAGTCCTACCAAGTATGCCAAATCAGGATATGGTTGGTTGTAGCATAAAGCATGTGATGGGAAATGAGTAATCAAGAGAGGAATTATCACCCCAAGTGATACAGGGGATATATCTTAATAGTTCTTGGTTAATATTAGCTTATTGAAGTCTTTGGCCAGGGTGACTTGGAGATTATGAAAAAAGTTTCAGAAGTTTCTATAGTGCTAATGATCTAACCTCAAGAACAAATATGAAAATCAATAAAAGTAGACACTGC